CGCCCGCCGCCCCGCGCCCGGCCGGCCCGCCGTCTTGGCCGCCTCGGGCCCAGCGCCCGGAGAGGCGCCTTCGGGGCTCGAGCACCGCAGACTGTGGGCCACGGAGGGAGGCCAGCCGCGCAGGCGGAGGTGGAAGCTGCGGCCGAGAAACAGGGGCCGCCGCCGCGTCTCCTCGGCGCGCCCCAATGCCTGGTCCGCCGCGTCCCCGCGCCCTGGGCCGCAACACCCGCGGCCGCAGCACCCAGCGCTCGGCCGCCGACCTGCCCAGGCGCGAGCTCCGCCTTCTCGCACCTCCAGCCCGTCGGCCAATCGGGAGACCGGCCCGGGCGGCAGCCGGGAGAGCGGGGCGGGGCCTGAGCCGGGGACGTCCCCATCCTCCCTGCGGGGAGAGGCGGGGCGAGCGTCTGGAGCTGGTCTGAAGGCGAAGCGCCGCAGGCGGCTCGGGCCAGTCCCCTCCTGCCGGGACGCGTCGCCCAGGACCTCCACCAGCAGGCCCCGCGCTGCCTCTCCAGGACGGGAGGGAGGAAACGGGGGAAGCGCGGTGCTCCGCGGGCCCTTGCTGGCGCCGGATTCTGTGCACCAGCACGGACCCACCCAGCTCTGTCCTCCGCAGTAAGCGCCTGGCGCTGGGGAGCTGTCCGCCCCGGTGGTTCTGAACTCGGCGCTGCGGAAACGCTCCAGGTGGGCAGCGGGTCCAGGTAGGCAAGGTCACCACTCCCGCGGCGGCTGCTGCTTTCTGTGGGGCAAGGCCAGTCGCGCCGCATGCTCCTTTAAGTACAAGGGCTGTTGGGCTTCTGGGAATATTGCCCTAATTAGGAGCTGGCCTCCTCGGCCCATTTCTGGGGTCAAATGCTGACTCAGTCTCGCTTCAATAGCCGTGTAATTTAAGGGTGGCAGCAAGGCAATTAGGTATGGCGTCATTTCTCATCATCTTTGACGTTTGACATCTTTTGAACTCAAAATATTCATTGCTTCCGAATATCGATTACCCGAGCACCTCTGTCATAACGTCTCCTTCGCTCCTGACACGCTCATCTGTTAAAATAGGGCACTATCCCCCAGGCCACAGCGCTTTGATAAACAATAGAACAGAAAGGTTCAGTCCGCCTTTCTAGCGCAGGAATGTGTGGTGGTCATCCTAGAGATGGCCATACATTAATCAGATTTTGTCGTCTTGTTCCCCTCCCCCTCCCTAGCTCAGTAAGTCACATCAATGGTAATTGGGTCATAAAGTCACTTTCACTCTGAAATAAAATAAATCCGCAGAGATGTAAAGGGCTTGCAAATCCTCCTGGGCATTAACTGAATACTAATTACATAAAAGGGAGAGGCACATTGCTACTTCCACACACGCATGAAAGGATGAAGGACCATTCTGGCTCCAAGTGAGGTCAATTCTAGTGTCCAGGCTTAGTGCCCATGCTCAGTGGTTAGGGCACTGGCCACATTCCTTGGGGCTGGCAGGTTGGAACCTGGCTTAGGCCTGGTAAACAATAATGACAACTGCAATAACACTCTACTGAGGATGACATAGTGAGACTCTGTCTCAAAAAAAAAAAAAAAAGATTCTGGTGTCATGTAGGAACCTTCACACTCGTGCCCTCCGGTCCCCAGTCCCTGCAGTTCCTCTCCCCTCTGCACAGCGTGCATCATTCATCTCTAACAGACCATATATAAAAAGGGCAGAATTCACATACATGACATTGCTTGCTATATGGATTGACTGATATATGAGAAAGTGTTTCCAAAGCATTTCAACTATCTTAAAGTATTATACCACAGTAAAGGGCTGATTTCCAACGTACCTATGTACTGTGCTAACCATCCCAAAGATTTTGAAAAGGGTACAGGTAATTGGACTTATCAGAATGCAGCATCATGAAACATAGGCTGAAGATTCCAGGAGAAATGTGTTGGGGTTTTAGGGAAACTTGCCCTTTCCCCCTCGGTTGGTTCACTGGAAAGACCAACTCACAGTTATGGTAGATTGATAAGAGAAAGATTTATTTCCAAATACCATGTGCATGGGGGGAACCACAAGAGTGATTTCCCTAGTCCCAGTGATAGTCAGTGGCTTTTAAAGATGCCTTTTAGAAGGGAGGGGGGAGAGAAACTGGAAAGTATAGGGGCAGTAAGTGGTTGCTAAGCGGGGATGGGTAGTAGGAGGGAAACAGATTGACTAGCAAATTAACCTGAGAGACAGGGATTGTGCTTCAAATGACATTAGGGCCAGAACTATTAGCATGTGCTAAGGAGTCTAGCAGCCCTTTAAGATTTTAGGTAGATAGAGGAAAATCTTCATTTAGAGTTTCCTGATTATGAATAGCCTTCAATTCAAAACTATCTTTATACCAAGGAATCATATTTTGGGGTGAAATTTTCTTAACTCCTTCAAATGTAAGACTCTATAGCTCAAGTTCAAATTTTGCAATTAGGAATTGTAAGACTCCTGCAAGTTTTCATGTTATCTATTAAAAACAACTGAATGAAAAAAATAATTGAAAGGCCAGGCATGGTTGCTCATGTCTGTAATTCTAGCACTCTGGGAGGCCATGGCAGGAGGATTGCTTGAGATTGGGAGTTTAAGATTGTGATACCCAAGAGTCTCTCAAAGACCACATCATGGGACAAGTTGAATTTAAAGAGGAGTCCTTTTATTGAAGGACTCCCAGCGACTGCCTCTGTCTCCCAATGTGGGGTTTCTGAGAGCAGACCTGAGTTGTCTGTGGCTCTGGTTTTTATAGGACAAAACTTTTCTGGGGGGCAAGCAAGCCTTATTACACAAGCAAAAATAGCAAGAAGTTGAAGGGGTAAGGGGAATTATGAGGGTAGGGTGGTGAGTTATTTTACACAATGCTAAGAACACAAGAGTGATTAGTGATTTTTCCTCCTTACAACATAGTATAAACCACAATGTCCTAGGGGGGAAATGCAGGGAGGGGAACTTACAGGTAAGGGTCATAAATAAGGTGACCAGATTTTAACATTGGTAAAGCGAGACACCATTGACGGGGTGGGGAACAGGGCCTGACAACAATGCAAACTTTGATAAGCAGTTCTCAGTAATCAGTTCTCAACAATTATTTGTTATTATTAAAGTTTAACATTATAAAATTAACAAAAATAATATAAAACTCATATCTTGGCGAAATAGCCACATGGCAGCCAAGATATAAAACCTTATATTCCCTTCCTGTTTTCCCACGTTCCCTAGCTTGTGTGCATTCTTTCCAAAAATTGGGACTTTTTTTTTTTTTTTTT